CTATTTTTTGTTGTTTTATTATTATCATTTTTTTTATTTTTTTTATTTTATGTAAAACAGGAAGAAATGTGGGCGGTCCACTTTCTATAATTGTAGGAGCCTGGTAAGGACCAGCAGGCATTTGGGTTAGGGGCCTATGGGTTTTTACCAGTGCAAGAGAGGTGACAGAGCAAGGAAAGTTTGAACTCTGTAATGTTGCAAAAAATATAGGAAATAAATCAACTGAACATCTACAAGTTTGGACTTCAGCTTCTTTTGCCTGCGTCAAGAAAATGTGACCCCAGTGCCTATAGTGGCTTATTGGAACTTTATTGGATGTTTGGTTTGACAAACAATCGCCACTACAGTCATGATTTTGGACTGTGAGAGGAAGCTGGAGTACCCGGAGAGAACCCACGTAAAAAACTCCATGCAGAAAGACCCCGGGCCGGGAATCAAACCTGGAACCTTCTTCCAAAGCGCCACTGAGCAGCCAGAGCCTGAGCAGCTGCAACAGATTAAATGAGGATTTAAAACAAAGTGTAAATATAAACCAGTTTAAAAGAAAAATATGTTTGATTGGTGTATCTATAGGCCAAGAATTTTACTGATGATATTAATAATGTATAAATAACTGTACATTCAATGAGGAACATGTCAGGTTTAATGAGAGGCTAGTCTAAGTGATCTTGATTTGAAGAGATCAATACTTTTTTCTTGCACAGAGGAAATAAAGATGTATTTTCCACATGTTCGATTCTGAGAAAATTGTGTAATATATATATATATATATATATATATATATATATATATATATATTGAGAGAGAGAGAGAGATAGGTACATAGATAATTTTTTTTAAATTGTCTGTTTGAAATAAATAAATATATAATGAAATTAATGGTGAATAGATTGAGTGGTTAGTGGTGAACGGTTAGTTCCCCTGCAAGCCAAGCTAAAGGAATATATGCAAAAAAAAATTTTTTGGATATACTTTTTAGCTTTTATTATAGTAAGCTGTTAGTGCCATTTCTGTGGTGTCTGATCATTTCTGCATTCTTTTACTAAATACTCCTAAAGGGATTATGTAAAACCATAAATAAAACATAATAAATATCATAAAACATCAATCATAATCACCAGATTTGATGCTTTGATGATGATTTGATGTATATTTAGCTGAAAATAATTAGATAGGCTCTAACGCTGGTATGGAAAGATTAAACAAGACTCAGATTTGACCTTTCAGTTAGCCTTTTAGACTTTAGAGCTTTAAGATTTTTCATGTTTGGGCCTAACATGGTTACTGTGTGTATGATTACAGGCCAGCTTGATGGGTCATACAGGACAGGGTTCCGACCAGGAAGGGAAACTTGATGAGGACCAGGAGATCGAAGGTGGAGCAGAGACATATTTCAGGGAAAAAGACGCTGGTCATACCAGCATTAGCCAAGAGAAATGCAGGTAAAGGCTCTCATTATCATTGTTCCAGTACTTAGTGAAAAGTATGGAATCCATTTCTCTTCATTTTGTTAGTATTAAAATTAATTAAACTGTATTAAAACAGTTTGATTTCAACGTTATACACACAGTGATACCAATACAGTGTGGCAAATGACAAATTTATTTTAAGTTGAATTTACATGAGTTACCTTTAATTTACCACATCACAGTTAACATTTAAGCCTTCTGTATTTTTTTGTTTTCTAACAGCTGTCTGAATTATTGCTTATTTAAAGGATGACTGCTAGTTTCAACTATAAACTAACTGTTTATAGTCACTGGTTATAACAAAAAAAATGTAACTGAGTTAGTAACTGCAGTTATAGCACAAAATAAATACTTCATAGACAAAGTTACTATGCAGTTTTGTTTTATGATCTAAAATGTCTAGAAATTTGGATAACTTTCCTGTTTTTAGAATCTTATTACATCTCGAATTTCAATAATGAAATAAAAGAAGTTTGATATGAATAAAAGAGTTAAATAACTAAAATGATTACTCATCTGAAAACATTGTATACTCATCTGCACCATTTTGGTGTGTGTGATGGAACAAGTAAGTTGAAATATACTTAGATATGATTATGTTTTTTTTCTGTAATTATTTTGAAAATAAAGCTGATCTTAGTTCATTTTTGCAAAGTTAAGTTTCATGATTTTTAAAACATACAGGTGATAAGGCACATTTTTAAAATTGAGTCAAAGCTACATATCTGTTGGCAAATGCTCTTAAAAGTGGAATTTTTAGAAAAATATAATGTATTTAAAGTAACTCTGCTCTATACTGTTTGCCAAATTAGGTCGACGAACCTGACCTGGACCAAGGGAGATCTGCTTTCAGGAGGACTAGGAACAGTCAGTAAAGGCCCATTTTCTCAGCTTGAGCCAGATCAGCACCCATGTTTAGCCAGAAAAGCATGTAAGTGTAATCATATTCTTTCTAAATTTCCAGAAATTATATGAAGACATTTCAAACAGCTTCAAGTCTCAGATATTTCATTTAGTTTAGTTCTTACCTGGAAGGCAGGCCTTTTCAGAATATGAAGACGAAAAAAAGATTCTTAAATTATTTTCTTTTTATATGAGCAAATTTAATGTAAATAAATGATAAATGTTCTTAGTCATTAAAAGTGGGAAAATAACAGATGAAAAATATATATATATATTTATTTATATATATATATATATATCTGTGTCTCTATATCTATTTACCCATATAAGGTTAGCAGGTATAAGTATATACTGTAGTGTCATCTCAAACCTCTAACCCAGCTAACTTCCTATATTTGCTCTTTAACCTCTGTAAAGCTAACTCCAGCAGTGGGGACAGTCTAAGAAGCTTTGAGGGGATATCAGAGTGTGGGCTTCTTCAGGCACAGCAGAAGATCAGGGAGCTGTCTGTGACCATCCGCATGAAGGAAGAACTCATCAAGGAGCTGGTCAAAACAGGTAGCTCTGCTGCCCCTTCTTGGCTCTTACCCAGCCTGATAGATGACATGTTGTGCTGTACATATAAGCTGATTTTCATCTCTCTAGGTAAGGATGCACAGGCCCTGAATAAGCAGTACAGCCATAAGATCTCAGCCCTGGAAAGTGAAGCTGAGCAGGCCCGTCAGGAGCTGCAGGAGGCTCAGCGACAGCTGCAGGATCTGGAGAGACAAGAGAGAGAAATCAGCACAACGGACAGGAGCAGAGCGCAGGAATGTCGCAGGAAGATAGCTGCTGCTCAGAGCAGAGTTCAGGTTTGAATGAGAATTTCATTTATTCAATGACTTTAAATTGATTTTCTACCTAAAGTTAGACCTTTTAAGATTGGGGTTTAAAGAGGGTAATAATTTGGGTAAAATGTCAGGTTCTCAGCCAGCGACAGAGGGATACGGTCCGTTTGGCCAACCTTCCTGTCCAGAGTGAGCGTCGCGTGTTGGAGCTGGAGAGAAGTGTCCAGTCCATGAAGCAGCAACAGGAGCAGCTGCAGAGACGCCTGCGTGAGGAGAGTCAGCAGAAACGGCGGCTGGAGACTGAAATGCAGAGAAGGACTCACAGAGTCAAGGTAGAACAAAGCAACATAATTGGAACATGATCAGTATCTTATTTTATTCAACAAACAGGACATTTGGACATCATTTAATCTTTATATTTACACTCTGATCTGTGATCTTTATCTTGTTGCAGGAACTCGAGATAAAGAATGAGCAGCAGCAGAAGATTCTGAGGATAAAGACCGAGGAGATCGCAGCCTTCCAGAGACAACGACGCAGCGGAAGTAATGGATCCGTCATTTCTTTAGAAGAGCAACAGGTGAGGCAAGAAATTGTTTGAAGCACATCATAAGGAGCGACAGTTTGTCCAGGTTGTCTGATTTTGTGTTGACCCTGTGGGAGCAGAAGATTGAGGAACAAAAGCGTTGGCTGGATGAGGAAATGGAGCGGGTCCTTGATCAGAGAAAAGCACTGGAGGATCTGGAAGGAGAACTGACAAAACGAGAGGAAATCCTGGCTAAGAAAGAAGCTTTGCTGCAGGAACGCAGCGGGCTGGAGACAAAGAGGCTTCGATCCAGTCAGGTATTAAGAAACACTCGTAACTCAGTTTACAGAGGCTGCAGGTTTACTTTGAAAATGGTATCAATCTTTTGCTCAGGCTTTGAGTAAAGATTTGGTGACACTTACTGGACGCATCGAGACCCTGGAGCAAGAGCTCAGTGAGAGGAATGGTCTCCTTCGAAGCGGCAGCGCTCAGGACTCCCAGCAGATCCGACAGGAGATCTCGAATCTGCGGCATGAGAAGGATTCGTTGCTCAAACAGCGCGTTGAGCTGGATGATAAACTGCGCAAGGGAAACCTGCTCTCACCTGAAGTTAGCTCACACTTTTAACCCAACCTTTGTCGTGACAATTATTAAGCTATTACATGGTCTTATTAATTGCCTCATTAACTATGGCCAGAAGTCATTTCACATTGTCATGCACGTATGTTCACTGGGTTGTTTTGCAGGAGGAGCGGACCCTTTTCCAGCTGGACGAGGCCATTGAGGCGTTGGACGCAGCCATTGAATACAAGAATGAGGCAATCACTCAGAGGCAGAGACAGCTAAGGGCTTCTGCCAGTATGCTCTCCCAGTGGGAAATGAACCTCATGGCCAAACTCAGTTATCTCTCCGCCTCTGAGACCAGAGCTCTGCTGTGCAAGTACTTTGATAAGGTTTGTTTAAAGTTCCTTTGTGTTCTTTTCTATCAGCTTATTTCCAACGATCATGCTAGTACTAACACAAATTTACCACACTAGTGTTCTAAACAGCATCTATTTGGCCGTGATGTGTAGGTGGTTTCTCTTCGTGAGGAGGAGCGAAAGCTGCAGCTTGCACTGGCCGAGCTCGAGATGCAGCTGGACGAGCAGCAGAGGTTGGTGCAGTGGCTGGAAAATGCCCTGGATCGTGCACAGTTCGACACAGATCGACGTCTCACACAGCAGCAGAAAGAACATGAGAGGAGTGTGCAGCTGCTCCTGCAGCAGTGTCGAGGTATGAGTAGCTCTCCAGCCTCAGAAGATATTATGTTGATATTCCACTCTGAAGGATTAAAGCTACAGTGTGTAATATTCAGTGACATCTAATGGTCAGACTGCAGCGACATGAACAAGCCCCCAACAATACGGAGGCCTTCATTGTACAAAAACATCCGCATTCGAGTCTAATGGAAATCTCTATAGTTACTGTCCTGCAGTAGCACAAAATACGTCTGCTTCCACAAATTGGAACCCAATCCTATGTAGTTAAAAATAACCATTTTTAAGGCAAGGCATAGATAAAAATTGAGACTTTCAGTTCATTGATGATAATAATGGACCTACCTAATATTTTACATCCCTGTATTTATTACGCACTGTACCTTTAAATATTTTTACTTTTCTGTCACATTCATGAAATGTATCCAAACTAAACTAGTTCAGTGTTGAGCAGCTCCTCTTGTTATGACTTCACCTTCAGCAACCACATTTTATTTTCGCAAAGGTTTTTTGTGATTTTAAAAGATATTGGCATGTAGAATAAAGAAATGCCTTAAATAGAACCAATCTGGCAATGAAAAAAAAAGACTAAAAGGACATTTATATTAAAATAATAAAATGGAAGTGCCAAGTCTGAAGAGAAGAAAAACAACCCATGTGCTCGTTTCAGATTTTCCAAACAACACATCTAAATGATCTTCAATGATTAATTTTAATTCAGAACATCATGCTGACAGACAATCATAATGTTGGCAGTCTGATTGTCTCCTGGACCTGGATGACCAGCTGTAATGGATGTAACCTGGGATTCAAATGGCACTATCCAGCTATCAATGATGACCTTTGAACTCAAGTTCTTATGTGCTATGTTACAGATTAAGGAGCTGAAGCACAACTACATGTTGACATCTGGACGTATCTTTTAGGACTGACATAATTAATTGGATTAATTGATTATTGAAATAATCTTCAACTGATTTAGTAATTGATTAATCGTTAACTGGAGTATAAAGACTCAAAAACATGCCTTTAGCTGACAGAGCAACCCACTTAGAGCAGTTACTATATCAAAATAAAATAAAAATGTATTTTGCATCTAAGATTTAAAAAAAATGTTGTGGATAGAAGTAACTAAAAGGATGCGAGGGGAAAGGAGACTGGCACAAGGCGGCAACAGAGAGTAACTAAAAAAAATACAACACTGCTTAAATATAACTAACAACTAGAATGACACAAAAGAAATCAATTACCAAGAAAACACAGAATGACATAGATCAAAGTGTATCTGAAAACTCAAAAAAGAAGCAAACAGAACCAAAAAGTCCACAAAGGGCAGAATCATCCCAGCAAGGTCGTCCACAGAGGCATAAAGGAATCTTTGGTAGCTATTGCAAACACCTGGTGGGGGTTTTACCACTAAGAATGGCACTACCAGTTAGTGTTTTGATGAATTACTTTTTCATACTAAAACACATTTTAGACCTTTTCTCTAATTAAATGTAATCTAGTCTGGAAAACTCATCTGTAATTACTCAGATTACCTTAGACAGACGGTAATGGTTGTGATGTTGTAAGAGTAGAAAAAAAAAGTTCACAAATAGGAAAATTTAAAGAGGAAAACCATTAAAAGCTCTCTTAATTACCGGTAGAGTTCTTTGGATTATGCATATCATTTTTTTTTTTTTTTTTTTTTGCTGGAGCTTTTGTTTACCAGCTATTCAGCTATAGATGATTATTGTAAACCTGATTGTTTGTCCTCTGGCCATTCAGAACAATTGGATGAGGGTTTGGCAGGACGGCAGCGGCAGTACGAGGGACACATCCATAATCTGGTCAAGGAACTCAACCACTGCAGGACAACAAATCTGGAGCTAAGCAACAAACTGAGAGAGATCTGTGGCTCAGTCAGCCAGCCTAAGGAGCATCCCAAAGGTAAAGTCTAGTTCTTTTTTCATCAGCTCTCAATTATTCATTGGGATTATTAATCTGTTAAAACACACACCCACACAGTACTGATTGATTTATTATTACAGACTCAAGGTCCGATATACATTAAAAGAAAACAGATACACTAAGAATAAAAAAGTTTAAATATTCCTGATTGTCAGAGTTTTGAGCTTTGTCGTTATTAAACCTACTTCGCTTGCCAGAGAAATAATTACAGAAACTAAATACTTAAGAACCTTTTAAGTGTTTCTTCAGATTTTAATGGATAGATTTCCTTAAGCTTTTGCAGGCGCTTCTATTACTTTATAGATTTTCTTCTCTCTTTTCTGTTCCATCAACCTAGCCTGACGTAGTCCGACTCAATTCTAGTCAGAATATGAGTCTGATACTGCTCCATAGAGCTGTGATTATGGGGCGTGTTTCGAAC